AGTCCAGGTCTCAGCTTTTACAATTACAAATGAAGGTCAAGTTTCCTTCTCTTTTATTTCTGAATTTTCTTTCTTGTTTATTGTCATCGTTTTTCTTTCATATTCATTTGCGTAACATCCCTTTCATGACTACACACACACACATATATATATATATATGCTGTTGCTGTAGTTTTCAATTTATACTAAAATGGTAATTAACGAAAATTTAATTGGTTCTTTTCTATTTCAATCCAGACGATTGAGACTGAGAGTTCACTGACATAGTAATTCTCATGTTTGATTTCTCTTATTTTATAAACTACGGCTCTGTTCTAGCTTTATTACATACTACATATGTATACGTACATATATATGGTTGTATTCTAAGGGTCACACATATATATGTTATAAGGGAAGTTTATTTTGTGTAATAAGTATTGATTTTTGACATGTCAGCCTCTTGTTTCTGTTGCAGAAAGTTGTATTGAAATTGGATTTGCATGATAAAAAAGAAAAACAAAAGGCCATGAAAGCAGTTTCGGTTCTTTCAGGTACTAATACAGTATTCAACATCGATTTGCTCTATCAAAAGTGACAATTGGTACTCAAGATTTTTCTCTTTTGACCTTTTTTTCAAAAAAAAAAAACAAAAAACTAAATCTTATAGGGATTGATTCGATTGCGATGGACATGAAAGAGAAGAAATTAACAGTAATAGGAGACGTTGATCCGGTCGAAATCGTAAGCAAATTGAGAAAACAATGGTGGACAGAGATTTTAACAGTTGGACCAGCAAAGGAGGAGAAAAAAGATGGAGAGAAGAAGGAAGAAGACAAAAAGAAAGATCAAAATGAACAACAAAAATTAGCAGAGCTTCAGAAGGCCTATCTTCAAGCCTACAATCCATACTTCCCAAGATATTACCATGTATTCACTGAAGATAACCCAAATGGTTGTGTCATCTCTTAAAATAATATTCATCTTGTTACATATATATGTCTATATATACGGAGGATTTGGTATATATATATATATATATATATCATGGAGAGACAATAAGTAAATTTTGTATGTATGGGACTGCTCTGTGTTTGTAATGTTAATTACTAGTGGAGTTTGTAATTGTGTGTTAAATGGTAACTAATTTCTCCTTCCCATTTCTTATTTCTTGTTGGGTTGTTTTCTTTCTTTTCTGAATATATATGTGTGTCTATATATATATATATATATATATATATATATGTAAATATTTGTTTGACTTGATTTGACTGGTGGACATTTTATAACGGAGGATCATGGAAAAATCCCTTTCTGGGTTAGTAATTAGGCCCTATATATATATATATATATATATATATATACATATTATATGGAGAGATTTATGCCCCATATATCAATATTGTATTGGTTGGTAATTTGACACTTCAAACTTTTATAGTCCTTGGATTCGTTATCTATAAATATATATATATATATATATATATGTTGGAAAATTAATTTTAAATAAACATGAAGATTAACTACTACAGGATGTAATTTCTATTGGGATGACCGACAAAAATTTGACTTTGAATAAAGATTTTATGAAATTTATTTATGATAAATTTTAAAATATATTATTTTAATTTCACATGATATTTTATACACTGTCAAATTTTTCACAATATTTTCCTTCAACTAAATTTATAAATGAATTCTATCAAAAATTTTAGTTTCTTCTAAACATTTATTATATGTATATGTAGGTGTAAATTAGTCATTGTCATTATTATTATCATATTGAGTCACATAAATTTATAATAATTAATATAATATCTTTAATAATTCATTTAAATTATTAAATATAAATAAATAAATAGGGTAAATAGAGTTATAAATAGTTAAAATAAAATTAACTTGATCATGACATATAAAATAATTAGGAAGGAAGACATGATAGGTGTAACGTGCTTGAGCAACGCACACAAACAAACACTTAAATATTTTTTCACCTACACTTGTTGTATGTGAAAAAAAATTATTAAAAAAATAAATAAATAAACATAGTTGTGTGCTTATAAACCAGTAGAATATGATCAATTGATCTGTAACTGGAAAAGAATGCACCAACTTTCTCTTATTTACACATGATTCTAACAAGATCAAAATATAATTAGCTAACTTGTCAACTAGATCGCCCTGATGCACGATCACTCGAATCATCACCCAACGAATCGACATATTATCATCATCATCATCTGAAAACTGGTTGTGATCATAAGTATTTGGATCTATGTCCTGGCTCGAACAAGAGGTGATTGAGGTATAGGCGAGTGAGGAGACATGAACGAACCCGGTGTCTTCATGATATCCTCATAGCGAGAGGAGAAGCTGAGTCTAAGACTAGTTTGCCAGCAAAGTTTCTTTTTAGGCACCATTGCTTCCTTATGTTGAAGCATGAAGGTTTTGATTCTTGACAGTGCAATTTCCATTGTCTTATCGTCCATGTTTGCAAAGCAAACCCTGAACCAGCCAGGTTCTGAGCAGTGGAAAGACGAACCAGGAGATACATTGAGTTTTATTTCGTTTATAATTACTCTCCATAACACCATTTCTGCTTCAAATGTCTGTTCTTTCAGCAGTCTACGCAAATCCATCCACACAAAAAGACCAGCATTGCTTTTTAAACAGTTAATGCCTACTTGAGCAAGTCTTTGTGTGAAAAAACTATGTCTCATTGCCAGCCTCTTTCTGCTCTCTACAATAAATTTGTCTACAAATTCATCGTCTGCTAACATGGATGCAATCAGATACTGGGTTTGCGAAGATACTAGGCCGAAGCTCGACATCTTACGAGCACAACTCACCACTGCATCATTGTATGAATACACAATGCCAACTCTAAATCCAGGGAATCCCATGTCTTTGGATAAACTGTAAATGATGTGGATGAGATCACGATTGCAACAAATTTTATCTTCTTCAATTATCTCGGCTATGCTGGTGAATTCGGGCTGGCTGAAGACGGTAGCAGCATATATCTCATCACACACCAGATGAATGTTCTTGTGGTTGGTGAAGGTGACTAGAGCTTCTAATGTGTCCTTGGTAATAATTGTTCCCAGTGGGTTTGATGGGTTGGTTATGAGCAAACCCTTTACCTTGATGTCAGCTTCTTGTGCGGTTTCATAAGCAGCTTCCAGGGCTTCTATGGTGATCTGGTAATCGTTTGAGCTTTCACAGACAACTGGAATGAGTTTGACTCCCGTTCTCCATCTCAAATCTCTATCAACCTGCAAGCAATCCCAATTTCATTAGTCATAAATGTTAAGAAAATAAAAGCCGAGCTTATTTTACCCATAAAAATATAAATGTACATGTATCTGTAGAGAGTGTTAAATTACCCTGGATAATAAGGAGTTGGAACCAAGAATGCATCGCCAGGATCAGCCAAACAGAAAGCAATCATTTCATGAGCTCCAGTTGCTCCTCCACTCATAACAATCCGATCAGGGTCAAATGAAGCTCTGTTTCTTCTCACTTTCCCCATAAACTTTGCAACAGCCTGAACCCAAAACATCAATTTTGGTTTAATACAAATTGTCATAATTAAATCATAATTAAACACCCATTTTTTTTTGTTTTTTTCTTTTACCTCTCTGAATTCAGCCAAGCCATGATAATCTTGAAAGATAGCTATATCTCTGAATTCAGCTGCTCCTTGTGCTGTACAAATGGAGGCTTCTGGGTTTTTCAGCAGCCACTCGTGAATTAAATTAAAGCAAAGCTGCATCAACCAGATCAGCAGATGAGAATCAACCTTGCTTTAAAAAGTGTATGTATATGTATATGTATGTATAGGGTTTCTGTATGTAATTACCTGATTCTCTGCAAGACCCATCTGTATAACTCCTTCTGGATTCTGTGTAGGATGAAAAGGGTCACTGTCGTATGCTTTCCACCCATCAAAGTAGGGAGAGTCCTCGCCATGTCCGTTGCTGGTTGCAATCTTGGACAACAGCTCTTGATTTCTCAACATTAGCACCATTTTCTTTCTAGCTCAAAATTCACCTACAAGAGTATGTATTATATACGTGTATACACGAAGATAAAGGAAGATGTTTCTGATTCAGAGATGGGTTTAGCAGTTAGAGTATTTTGGTTGGGAGTGCGGTTATATGTGTGTTTGTGTGTGTACACGTATATATATATATGTAGAGAGAGAGAGAGAGAGAGATTGAATGTAGGGTGGTCGTGCAGTGGCTTGACTTTTTAAGATGGCTATATGCTGTAAACAATTATTTAAAATGTGATGGGAGAATCAAAGGGCAAACAGAAAGTTCTGTGAAGGAACATCATAAGTGCATCCTTTGAACAAATTTGGTTGGATTTGGTGGGCGTTTTGAACTTGATCACTAATGGAATTCTTTTTCTTTCTAATGGGGTTTGGTACAGCCAGCTGGTAATAATAGCCCAGAAATTCCTGGGATAATAAAGAAAATTTTTCTCGAGAAAGTAAGATTATAATATTACCTCCTTACTTAATAATTACAGAGGTGGCAAGCCACCTAAAGGAGGGGAGTTGATTGATCTAATTCTTCTATCACAACTAATAAGTCGTAGGATGACCCAAATCTGTCAAATTCAACTCTTTTGTTTTGACCAAGATTTGTAATAATTTTTATAAAATTAAACAAAACTTATATTTAAATTATATTGTTGATGGAAGTAAATGAAAAGAGATTAAAATGGGTAATTTGGACGTCATGTCTGACTCAATTAAAACGACGTGGTATTTAAATGAATGAAGCGCGTTGAATACGTTTGTGACTTTTGGATAATATTACAAAGTTTTTGTCTCCTCAAAATAATTATATAATTTATTGGTGAGAAAAAGATTGACAAGATGAGACTTACCATCATGGGGGTGTGTGAAGTTACAAAAAAAAAAAAAAGTGAAAAGCTTATGAAATACATATTAATAATATTTAAATACATTGTTTAATATTAGGTTTCCCGAGAGGAAGGATGACTGCCCTAAAAGGAAAAAAAGGAGAGAGATGGGGGTGTACCATAATTATCATCAAGATGTATGTATGTATGTATGTATGTATGTATGTATGCGTATGAAAATGAATATTAGATATACATTACATAAGTTGGTTGGAGGTTTAATTATAAGGGTGTACATATGTGGCTGAGATTACATGTTGGGACCAAAAAAATTAAATGGTTTATCATATGCGAGAGGAGTGAGTGGGTCATAAGCACCGGTTAGGTCCCACCGTGTGCAGGCTTTGTTCCGACACAACATGTGATAGCCTTCTCCCGCGCACCCACACATAAAATAATTTCATTTCATTTATATTTATCAAAAATATTCATATATATATATATGCCGTCATTCTCAATTTTTCGTACCGACATTTATCTCTATCTATCCTATTGTCATCTCGTCACCGTATTTTTATATCACTTAATTCGTAAATTTTATATTAAAAATAAATATACCCTGAACCATTAAATTACAAATGGTAATGACTTGTTTAATGGGTACACGTGGAGTGTTAGAAGAATTTGGAAATTGAAACATCAAAATCGGGTTTAATTAGTCATAATCACATGGGTGGCCGGTCTTAATTAGATTTGATTAATTTAGTAATGACATGGAAATTTTTTCATAATGTAATAATAATCCTTTTTCAGTTGAAACTTTGCTTTTTGTCAAAAGTCGTAGCTGAGAAATTTCTCTCCACACACTTTTTTATTCTTTTTCCCTATAATAATTAATTATTAAAATAATTCAAAACAATAATAAAAAAGTGAAACTCAGAAACGCTGAGGATGCAAATAATTAAAATCACACAGCCGACAAAAAAAACACAAAAAAGAAATTAAAAACGGCACACGTGTATAAGCATTCACTCAGGAAGAGACGTTTCAAATACCTCCCGTCACCAGATCTTGCCACGTGTTATCTGCTCGTGGATGATTAAAAATAAGTATTATTTTAATGCCACGTCTTACGACTTTTTTGCTCTTTATTTTCATATTAATCATCATTTTTTTTTCCTTAAATTACAAATTAGAAGTCGTAATGGCTCGATTTGGTTATTATTCCATTCTCATCTTTTTCTTTTTTTTTTTTTTACATTTTCCGATACATACAATATAAAATAAGTCTATAGTTATATGCCAAAATAAAATTTGACTCTTCACCTATCATAATTTTATAAATTATTAATTTGTTCTAAGTTTTTAAAATATATATTATATATATTTAACAAATCAGTAATTTACTTTTTATTTTGATAATTCTAAGAAGAAGGAAAGTGACATTTCTTCATTTATATTTATATTTACAAAAATTAATTTTCTTTATTTTTCATTTTTTGAAACATAAAGAAAGAAATTTTAATTTTATAGAAATTAATATATCGATAGATATATATGTATATATATATATTAAATAGTACAGAGATTTAATTCATTTTTTCTTTTTTAAGATAAATTCTTTCTTTCTCTTTTAAAAATGAGTAGACTTTTAATTTCAAACTAAAAATACTTTAAAATTAAAAAATATTTTTCTAAATGATAAGGAGATATATTATCAAATCAAGCTTTAGTCATTTGTCATAATGCTTTCATTTTAAATCTTTTCAAATATTATATAACAATCTATTTTTATATGTTTCATCTTTTATAAAAAATAAGATTTATTATAATTTTTTTGTTACAATACATGATAATGACTCGAGAATGTTCAATATCTAAATTACATAATAAATACCTTATTTAGGTCAGCTCACAATAAAAATTAGATATTGTCTCGTACTCAAATTTATTATATGAATAAGAAATAATGTGTGTTTCTTTTATTTTCAAGAGATAAAAGATGACCCAATAAAAAAATAATACTTTGTGATAGATTTTCTAATGTTACGAAAAGCTCCCAAATCACTATCATTGTATGCATTAAGTAGCAATACCAAAGAACATGGATAACATAAACATCATGTTGGAGCATATTTGATATATCTTAGGACTTTGTATGTGATATTAAAATATTAATCTTGTGGATGCTCCGTGAATTGATTAAAAAGTTTCATGGAATATGATAGATTTAGTCTTGTAAAGTTCAAATATATCAGTCTTTCAATAAACCTTCTATATAGGTACAGTTGAAAATAAGCTTATTATCTTCCTTTGACAATATGAGATTTTGATCCAATGGTAACTTCGAAGTTCTTACACATAAAATTCTTATTCATTCAATAAATTTAAGACATAGTTGCATTGATAAATACAAATTTCATCTTTGGACTACACAATCTCAACTCAAAGAAAGTATTTTAGGTTTCCATGATCTTAATTTTAAATTTCTATTTTCACTATATATTTTAGATGGTAAGTTGATTTCATATCATTACATGCTATGGCTATATCATCAACATAAATCAATATTATAATAAAATTTTTTCCATCGATCTGCACGAACAGGTTATAATCAACCTTAAATTGCATAAATATCTAATATGAGTTATATAAACTCATCAGTGTATATATAAAATATGATTTATATAAACTGATGTGATTTAAAATTAAATAAATTAATTGAAAAAGTTCTTTAACATTAAAATCGTGCCAATATTAAATTCTATTAAAAACATTGATAATTAATGTATGTTATTCAATCAGCTTTTTAAAAAAAAAATTAAAAAAT